CTTACCTTGGCCAGGCGCCATCCTCCCCAGCACTAATTAAGGCCTAAATAATTCTCATCAGTATGTGCATAAAATAAATGGGCCTCAACGTAACACAACTTCCCCGTTGCGTCCGGGCTAATATAATCACAGTTTGCCGGTTTTCACAGTCGTAAATATACTGGTTTTCTTTTGTCAAGGAGGAGAAGATATTTACATCTATTTATCCTGCCAAGTTTTTTGTTTTTTTTTTTCACTAGATTTTGGGTCATGTAAAAATTACTTATATGATAATTGATAATAAGATGATGACATGTACTCTATTCAACCACTATTCAATATGATTATCTCTACTGTCTTTCCGTTTAATTATTGCTTCTTATCATCATCCATTTCATTAGATTTCTGACAGGTAGGGGGGGAAACGGCGCAGATCGCAGTATGAAGGATGGTGCCTGAATATAAGATTATATCTAGAAAATGCAGAGATCAACTAAGTTTATTAAACAGCAGGGCAGTGCAGCGGGACAGGAGAAATATCCACTTCTGCCTTTTTTTTCTGAATTTAACTCCCACTAAAAATGCCATGCTCAACCCTAGGCAGAAAAAAGAACATCCCAGCACACGCCACGGCTTAAGATTCTAGTTCTGAAACATTAGCTGGACAAAGCTATCTTCCTGTGGGTTAGTAGTATTAGATAAATGTGTATCTAACTCTCAGGTTCTGATTGTGAAGCATTAGCAAGCACGAGTGAAAGCCGATGAAGGCTTCCTCTTCTGCCTCCCCGGGATCAGCCTGGAACCACCCCGACCGCTGCTGAACATGAAGTAGGAGGCCGACTTGGGAAGGCCGGTGAGGCAGGGCTGGGCTGGGCTGTCTAGTTCAGCGGTCTCAGGAACAAGACTTGGAGACCCGGGGTGCAGAGCCCAGCAGGGGCAGGCGTGGGAACTTGGACAAAAACACTTTAGGGCCTCTTCACGGGAGAAGGTGGCGGCTTGTGGACTCAGACAAGGTCAGCGCCACTGCAGAGCGATAAGAAGCTGGCCCGAGGGCAGTCTCTGGGCCAGCGTGCGGGGAGAAGGAGACAGCCCAGGTCTGACAGCTGGCGTTACTCCCACTCTGCAGACGGCTCGCCAGGAGCTCGAGAGAGCGCCCAGGGCTCAGTACTGTTCTTGCGGGCTGTGCGAACTCTCACAGAGCCCGGGCCCTTCGCACGGGCAAGGGTACTGATCTGGCATGAGCGTGGATCCTGACTCCAATGCAGACAATTCAATATTTTAAAAATATTTTTAAAAATTTAATTGGCACATAATAATTGTAAATATTCATGGGGTACACGGGATACAATTGTAAATAGTCAATCCATACACACTATGTAATGGTCAGATCAGGTGACTGGCATATCATTCACTGCCAACATTTATACTTCTTTGTATTGGAAACGTTCCAAGGATAACCTGATATTTTAAACTCCCTGGTGGATAACAGAAAAAACTGAATGCCGGGGACGGCCCTAAAGAGAACACAGCACTTTGCCAAGAGGGGATACAAGTGAATAAATAATAAATAATAATCATGGATTTTTTGGGCTATTTGAAACGAGTAGAGGACAAACCAGTAGGGCCCTACCGACCTGTCAGGATCGTAAGGACCTTCTACCTCCTTGCCATGGAGTTATTTTGAATTAATTTGTAGGGAGAGAGACAGAGAGAAAGCAAAAGAATGTGCTTAGGAAGACTAAAAGATATATATATTTAAAATTCTCCTGTATTTTCCAGCTGTGTGAGCAAAAAGAATTCAGGTACCTGATCTGAACTGTCCTTCCTCTGAGAGCCCACAGCTGTGTCAAAGCAGCCACACCCATGCAGAGCTTGGAAGGCAGAGAAACCATTGAAAATCATAAGCAGAAGGGTCATCCTGTCTGGTTAGAAATAGCACACTGCACTGTGATTCAACTTTGGAGGAACTGATTAAAAAATAAATAAATTCATTAATTATCTCCAACATGAACCAAAAAGCTAAAAGCAGTCATCGCTAATTGTGGGAATACTACTGGTCTTTCTTTTCATTTCTCTGTACTTTTTTTTTCATTTTTCAAGTTTTACTACTGTGTATTAATTTTCCAGTCAGAAAAAGCCATTATTTGTTAAGAGTTCAGGATTAAACACTGTACCATACTGGTTTAGACACTGTGGTGATGAAATTAGTCAGCAAACTGCCTTCTAGTTCAGGTTACTGACGGGAGGGTGGTGAACACCCCCTCGGTTACCACCTCGAGTGGGTGCTAACGAAGGGGCTCCTGACTGTAGTAGGATGAGAGGACCCCAACTTGTACCATTCTTCTCTCCTCTGGAAGGACCCACCAACAATAGAGAGGGCACATGTCTGGTACAACCATGGACACAGAATCAGCTGGTCAGTCAGATCTTGAGATCTGCTGGGTACTGTTCTAATTGAGGTCTTTGTTTTTTTTTTGGGTACCGGGAATCGAACTCAGCACCTTCTGCTTGCCAGGCAGGCGCGTATGCCGCTGAGCTATATCCCCGGCCCTAATTGAGGTCTTTGTAAACTACAAACTTCTACATGGAAAAGACCAGGCAACAGATCTTTTAGGTTTTGCAGGTGGCATGATCTCTGTTAGAGTACCCAACTTTGATGCTGAGAAGTAGCTTGGAGCATTCACCAGGGCTAAGCATGGCTGTGTTCCAATAAAACTTTATCTACAAAGAAAGCAGTTTCCCAAACCCAGAAGAACTCGTTGTCTAACATAGTCGAACCAGTAGAAGCCACATCAGTTCCCTAAACAGATGGGTCATTACAGAAGGCCGCTCCTCAAGCACCGGTCGTTCTGATAGTACACCAGCGGCCACTCCTCACACAAAAGAATGTGCATTATGGAGCTTATGTTTTTGGCCACTGAAGTTGTTGCTCTTCGTCCCAAGTGTCTTAAGTTTAGAAATAAGTACTTTTGGTTGCTGTTCTTGTTTGTTTGTTGGAGACAGGGTTTCATTAGGTAATACAGGCCCATCTTAAAATCACCGGGTAGCCCAGGCTGGCTATGAACTTTCAAGCCCATCTGAAAAGTGTATATTATAACAAAAAGCTCAAAGTAAGGTAAATCAAGGTACAGGAGCACTAGAATATGCGCTGAAACCAGCAAAACAGTTATGTCTTCACAATCACTGTAAACATGATATAATGTTGCCTGAATATTAAACATTTAACTAAAATATATGATGCAAAAAAGTACTGATAACTTTTTAGGGGGCTTACTAGGATTGAACCCAAGGTCCTGGCATTAAAATGCATCCATAGCCCATTTTAACTTTTTATTTTGAGACAGGGTCTTCCTAGGTCACTAAGTTGCTCAGACTGGGCTCAAACTTGTGATCCTCTTGCCTCAGCCTCCCGAGTAATGGGATTATAAGTCGGCACCACCGCACCCGGATCTAAGTCTGCATCTTACATTCCACCCACCTAACCCATACGGCGATATATGAATGGAACTATATATAATTCACATAGTGATATAGAAATAAATTCACCCTTGCTGAATACCGAATGAATGAATATCTTCTTTCACCAAACTGGTGTGAAATGTAGTTCTTGAGTGTTCCCTCCCGGAAGCCACTTCAGGCAGACTTCCCCTTGAATGAGGCATACTGTCCCCGGTATTGGGGTGAATGACCTAAACAAGTAGCCCAGGGGAAGAGTTAGGACCCCAGATCACATAGAAAGCGTCCAGGGCTCAGGTTTCTGCTGTTCTCCCCTTTTAGTATAGTGTAGGCTAGCAGAGGGTCTGGGGCATAAACACACTGTATTCTCTAGAGGAATTTGACACTGTCTAGGGCAGGAACTTTCTGGTTGTTTCTAGAAGATGTCAGTGCAAAGAACCACAGGCAGGCCTGGCTAAGGCGGTCACAGATTCTTCTCAGTGACTGTTTTCAAGTCGATAGATCGTAGGAGTTCTGAGGTCATCATCCTCTTCCTCTCCCTCTCCCACCTCCTCCTCCTCTTCCACCTCTTCTTCTTTTTTGGTTTTTGACTCAGGGTCTTGATATGTAGTTCAGGCTGGCCTTGACCTCACTTTGTAGCCCAGGCTGGCCTCACACTTGTGGCTATCCTCCTGACTCAGCCTCCCAAGTGCTGGGATCACAGCATATGGTGTGCCACCATACCTGGCCCCCTTAGATCTTCACAGTACTCTGGAACCTCCATCCTCCTGGCATTCCCTTGGCTCAGCTAAGCTACCAAAGGGGTCACCTGGTCAAGAAACTCTTCCTTCATCAACCTCCACAAATGTAAAACATAACAAGGCAGAATTTAACTGGTGAATTCCGCAGCTTCTCCATCCAAGGGCGTCCCCTTAGCAGGTCCAGATGGAACCCACGGCCCCACCTCTGGGGGCTTCCTGGTTACATCAAAACATTCATTCCCACGGGAGGGGAATTTAGAATTGTCTCACCCCAACGGAAAGAATCTGGGTTAAAAGCCAAGTCTGAAAATGGATTTTAAGTACTTTAAACAAAGTACTTGGCTAATATTTAGGCAGAGTCAGAAAGCCTCCTGAACTGAATATTTTGCACCTGACCTTCAAGTCGGGATTTGTGAATCATACATATGTGGATATAAGCACAGAACAGAAAACATGTAGTGTCCGCACATATAGCTGATGATATTCACTGTTCTAGGTGGATATTAACAGTCATTAAGAAGATGGGAAGAATCCAGTAGTCAGAAACCAAATTCTGGAGCTCTGAATTCCCTGCTCCAGTGGCAATCACTCCGGCCATGGAGACTTCTGCAGAGAGGCCCGTGGAAAGTACATACAAGTGAGGAAAAAGAAAAGACAGAGCACAAAATAATTCCAGAGAGCGGGCCCAGGGCCAGAACTCTTAGAGGCCCAGGGCCAGAGCATGGCTGACGTCCTAGGCACAGATCCTGCCAGTGGCCCTGGCCACGTGTGTGGCTGTGAGAGATGCTGTGAGACTCAGAGGACAGAACAAGGGAGAGTACTCACGCTGTCGTTGCTTCCTTTGTTGTCCTCATACTTGGTCTCTATATGGATGGAGAATTTTGGCAGAAAGGAACACTACGGAGAAGAAGAAAGCTTTCATTAGCACATCATTTTTCATCTTCACATATTCAGTGTGGCCCTGGCTACTCTCCCAGGCCAGAGATGGTCAGATACTATGTCAGTCTCCAAACGGAGTAAGGACAGCCACCTTTGGGAGCACGAATGCAAGTTCTTCCAGCAGTAAAGCCCGAGTCGGGAACCAAAACGGAAGGCAAGGGGCTCGTCCTGACCCGCTTCCAAAAGGAGCATGTTCTGTGAGTCCTGCACCAGTTTTAGAAAAACAGACCCATGAAACCGAGGTCAATTCCAGGTCTGGAGGGAGCTCACCCTTGGGGAGCACCTGCCACTGCTGGGTACCTGGGGACTATGCCTTAACTTCCATATATACTCAAGGAGGAAATACAGAAGAGCTTCTCAATCGGAGATTACTGAAGTCAGACAGACCTGCTTTATTTACTTATTATTCTCATTTGCATTACTGAGAGTCAATCCCATTCCCTTTCATTTGTTTTGACACAGAGTGTAGCTAAGTCGCCCAGGCTGGGCTCGAACTTACGATCCTCCTCCCTCAGCCTCACACAGGGTTTATAGGTGTGTGCCGCCGTGCTCGGTTTGACCCGGCTTTTAATGTGTGACTTTGGACACATCCTTTGGTTTCTCTGAATCCCAGCATTATTAAAACAGATATAACATTACCTGAGAATGACATTGTGAGGGTTAAATATACACAAAAAGACAGAGCTGAGCGATGGGGCACAGCTCAAAGATAGAGTGTGCATACACAAGGCCCTGGATCCCATCCCCAGAACATATATATATATACATATACACATTTCATTTCATTTGTTGGTGACTACTCAGTGCTCAGCACCGTAGCAATCAGTACGAGGCTGCAGGTGAGCCTGATCAGAAAAGAAAGCCCCTCTTTTTGGCTGTGCAGGGACAGAAACCTGAGTTGCAGTATCCCTCTAGTGTCTCAGTCCGTCCGAGTCCCATTCTGTGCGGTCGGTAGGTCTGAAGAGTTAAGGCGCCTCGAAAAGAGGATGTTGATGGCCGCTGGTATAACCACCCCGCTGCGGGCACGAGTCACTGTCAGCCACCGGAGATGGGATTGAACGCTAACGGATCAAAGGACCCAGCCTTTCCACGGGGAGCGGCCGGGGTTAGAGAAATGAGACCTGGCTTCCTCTGATCACAGTCCCAAGAGGGTGGGCTCCTTTAGTATGTAGCCAACACTCAGAGCGCATGCGCTCTGCATCAGACACGCTCTGGACGCTTCAAATTCTCACGCACATATTCCTTGCGGCAACACCAGGGGATCGGCACTGTCACTAGCGCCCCTGCTTCGAAGATGAAAAATGGAGGGATAGAGCGGTTGCGTACCGGGCTCACAATCACCCAAGCTGTGCGTCTTAGAGCCAGAACTGAAGCCAGCCAGCCTGGCCCGGGTGTCCGTGCTGTTCGTTACTCCAGGGGTCCTCCAATGAGCCCTTGGTCTAGCAGCAGCTGCAGCACCAGGACTCGTCAGAAATACGTGTCCGGCTCCGCCCAGCTCAGCCAAAGCGGAAACCTGGAGGTGGGGTCCCGCAGTCGGCGCCACGAGCCCTCTGGGGTACGCTGGCGTATGCTCCATCCGCGTACCCCACCACACCGTTCGCGAGAAGGAGACAGCCTATCATCTGAGACCCCAAACACCTCAAAGTCTGCAAACACCGGCCTCGCCTCAGGGGCGTCATCCCCACAACGACCACACTCCCCTGCCCACCCAGCCGAGACCCCAGGGCACCTGTACAAGAAGGCAAAGGCCTTGGGCGAGCTGCGGCTCCTCCCCCGTGTCACATGCCTGTGTGGATCTGGCATCCATCTGTCTTAATCAGAGTGAAACAAGCCATCTGAACTGTGACTAAGGAAAGGCGGAAACAATCAATCCCAGTAATTGTCTTGATGGAGAACGAGGCCCCGTGTTATTCATTACCACCTACCCCGCAGCCCCTCTCCAGCCGCACTCAGCTGCTGCTGCCCTCACACCCAGTTCTGGGCAGTTCTGAGGGGGCGCTGATCATCACCGATGCAGACCATGCAGGACTCCAGCTCCCTGCAGAGCTCTGACTGCTTCATGAACATGGGGAGAAGCACTCACCCTGAGGCCCTTTTAAAAATAACAAGCCTTAGCTGGGCGTGGTGGCGCACACCTGTAATCCCAGCACTCAGGAGGCTGAGGCAGGAGGATCACTGTAAGTTCTAGAGCAGCCTGGGCTACAAAGTGAGCTCAAGGCCAGCCTGAACTGCATAGTGAGAGCCTGTCTCAAAAAGACAAAAAACAAAACAAAACAAAACAAGCCTTTACATGAATCGGTACTTTTACTTTTACTTGTTAACCCGTCATTCATCTGAGGGCCGTGCTGATAAGTTCAAGGGAACCATGGGGCACCAAGCAGAAAACTGCAGGAGTTTTTCCATGGACCCTCTAACCCACGCAGCTGGGTCAAACAAATGAATTTTAACATTTGGGTATTAAACCCAAATATGAAATGCAAAAGCTCCATGCAAATTAGCAGATGTTGGTATTTCCGAGTCAAGGACTTTGGTTATTTTCCTCTGGGAGGGTGAGGGGAGGGCACCTGCCTTCAGCAAAACTTCAGGAGGACCTGAACCAGGCGCCGGTTGGGTTTTCTCCTCGGGCAGGTCTGGACTGATAATCCCTTCGGCGTGTCTGACGCCTGGAGTGTGCAGATGACTCAGGTGAAAATCAGAAGTCTCTGACTCCAGGTGTTTTCGAAGCTGTCATTAAGTCCTTTCCGGCGAGATGTCCGTCTTAAGATGAACTTGGCTGCCCTGTGCTGGTGAGCGCCTCTAGAAGTCCAGCCCCGAGACCTAGCAAAGCTTGTCTATCCTCTCCGCTTGGCCGGGCCTCAGCCCCTTAGTTATACGCCGCCCCTCCGTCCCTCTCCAGCCTGGAGACTGGCTTCCCCTTGCCTCTCCGGCAGTCATTTATTGTGGCTCATATTTTGAAGTGAGGTAGACTTACAACTTTCTTTTCTTCCACTGTAAATCAGCGTATTTCTCTGTGCTTTTCGTTCTTTGTGAACCCAAGAAAAAACATTTTCCCAGTCAAAGGCACAGAACGAAAAGAGCTGACACACTGGCGTCAGCTGGGCTCACCTCAGAGCTGGCTGACGCGGGCAGATTACTGAGCGGCCCTAGCCTCACGGTCTCCATGTATATAGCGGGGACCCTCACCTACGCTGCAGGAACGTCCAGAATGCCCGTGGGATCACCCGGCTCGGCCCTAGGACAGCACCTGCCACATCGTAGGTGCACAGTTGGAAAATATGCATGTGATTCTTTGGAACTTGTCTCATTGATTATCTCTATTTCTTTCTTTGCTTTTACAGTGCTAGGGACGGAATGCAGGGCCTCATACACGCTGTGCAGACCCAGCACCAGCAAGCGACTCCCCCAGTCCCTCACTGATTCTCTGTACCTTCCCCCTGCCTCTTCCACAGCCTCAAAGCCCAACCAGAGGGTGACATTCCTAAAGACAAGCACAAAGCTCCTCAGTGGTTTCTTCCCCTGTCTAATCAATCTCATTTTTCTTTGTTTTCACAAAGCATAGTCAGAGCTGGCTGGCTCTACCCTTTCGCCTCTCACTTCGTTTTTCTTTGAGACAGGGTGTCTCACTCCGTAGTCTAGGCTGGTCTTGAACTCACTATGTAGCCCAGGCTGGCCTCGAACTCATGGCGCTCCTCCTGCCTCAGCCTCCCAAGTGCTGGGATTACAGGCGTGCGCCACCACGCCCGGCTTTCATCTCCTTTCAACCCATGCAATTAGGTACAGAGCCGACTGAGCCTCAAAGTGAGTCTCAAAGTACTTCCAAACCAGCATCGCTTTCCTGCCCACCCCTGGACACCTCTTTACACTGCTCAGCGTGACCAAGCGCAACCTCTGTCCCCAGCAGTCATTCCTCTCAGCTTCTCCTCCCTCCTGCCCGCTTCCTGCGTAAAGGGTCCCTCTGTCCTCTCCTTGCTCCATACTTGCTCACCGTCTGTCCTGACCACCTCCTCCACCTCTGCCTTTTTCACGACCTCCCCTCCTCCCAGTGTGTCTCGGACTTGCACTGTTCCTGCCTTATCCCCTCGGAGTGCTGAGGTTACAGGCATGCGCCACCACACCCAGCGTCTTACTTTTTAAATAGTCTCACTATACAGCAGTCCTGGCTGGCCTTGAACTCACTAAACTGCCCTGGCTGACCTTGAGCTTGTGATTCCCCTGCTTCAGCCTCCCAAGGGCTGAGATTACAGATGTGTACCACCCAGCACGGCTTTTGTGATTGCATATGTGTGTGTGTGTGTGTGTGTGTGTGTGTGTGTGCATGTGTGTCTGAAAAATCAACACCTCTAGTTCCAACTTCTCACCTCTCCGGCTGCCACACGCCACCCCCACAGAGGCTCTTCCACGTACACCAAATCTGTAAGGTTCGACCTGAACTTGAATATCCTCCCTCCCTATATGAATTCTCTAGAGTCCTTATAACAAATTACCACAAACTTGACAGTTTAAAATAACATTCATTCTCTCACAGTTCTGGAGGTCTGAAATCTAGGTGTCGGTGGGGCCACTCTCCCTGAAGGCTCCAGGGACAGCACCCTCCCTTGTCAAAGGCAGCTTCCGGAGGCCCCAGGTACGCTACGACGGCGCCTGCGTCACTCTAATCACCGTCTCCTTCGTGTCACCTCTAAATCTTGCTCAAAGGCCGTCTTTGATGCCACTTCTGAATGACCACTCCACGGGGCAGCAGCATTCTATTTGCCCCTCTGTCACGGTGCCCGTCTCCCCGCCCTCATTACTGTGAGCTGCCTAAGTGTTTGGTGGCGGTATCTGCCGCAGTACCTGAGACTCCAGTTTTTAAAACACAGGGATTATTTGTTGGCTTTGAAGTCGTGGGAGGACCAGGTGGCCGGGACGTGGGGAAGGCCTCTGGGAGCCAAAGGCACAGCCAGCGGGAAAACAGGTCC